GGCGCTCCCCTCAAGAGCCCCAGGGCGGAGCAGCGCTGCTGCCGCTCCCCGTCCTCCATTTCACCGCTCAGCAGCGGGCCCCCCCCCTTCCCCACCACGCGGTTGCGTGCGAAAGCCCGGCAGCACCAGCCCTGCCGCCTGCCTGGGCCGCGGCTACCAAGCGATCGTGATTGCTCTGAATGACTGCCTTTATTCGTTCTGCCAGTTTTTGTGTCATCTGTAAAAATTTTGTTTGGTTTTTGTTGTTGGGTTTTTTTTTTTTTAGCAGCGGTAATTTTACACTTCAAGCTGATGGGTAAGTGTACTGAATTGCATAGAAATACAGTCCGAAATATTTGGGAGAATACATACTTCCCCATATATTCTTATGCTAGAGCTTTCATAAATACAGCTACTACCCTCAACACAAGTCTAACCGACCAGGACTTCCATACTAGAAATTGAAAATAATTATCCAGGGCACTGGATTGGTTATCCAGGCCCTATGATTAAAAAAAAATAATTTTATATATATATATATATATATCTCTATATATATATCAGTACTTAGTGTTATGACACTATTACCAGGGGGCAGTAACAGAACTATAAGTTCAGATTTTTGGCATGATTAGTTTCCTTGCATTATGTACACTCGTAAAGAAGTTTATACTTTCAGAGGCAAAACCACCCTGATGAGAGGAGGGATCCTAGAGCAAAGCAAGCTGGAGAGGGCACTTCATGGTCCACTAGCTGTCAAGCCTGCAAACTAGTCAAAGGAAAGTTTCTGCATCTGTTAGTGGAACAATTTAAGTGACTTAGTGCAGAATTCCTATTCCTTTTGAGGACACCACAGCCTGTCTCCACCACAGATTCTCCTATTGTCCCTGTGAATTCATCCCAAAAGAATAAAATCTATTCACAGTACTTCAAAGTACTCTAGGCTATCATCATGCATTCAGTGCTAGTTGTACAATGAAGCCATAGAAATTGAGAAGTCCTCAAGTAAAAGGCAGATTTGGAAGCAGCAGTGAAACAAATCTGCATGTAAAGAGCCAAATGGGAAAGGGGGGGGGGGAAAGCAGCTGTAATGTGATGTTGCTACTGGAAGCAGAAGTGAATCATTATCACCGCACCTAGTATTTGAGTAGGTGCTTGTCTCCAAAGTGTTTTCAGAGGGCGCTTCTGTGGCATGTTCCAGTTTTTCCATCCTCAGATTCAGAGCTCAGAAGAATCAGTTTGTAGATTAAACGGCAGTATATAAGGAGAGACATTTTTGCTGAAACAGCAGTGCAGGAAGGAGACAAGGGATAGGGTAAAAAAACCAAAAAAACAAAAAACAACTGAGGGGAAAGATTTAAAAAAAATTTAAAATGCTCCTTTCCAAGTTGCATGGCAGCCATTTCCCTTTGTTCCTGATGCACAGGGAATGTTCACATTGGTAGAATAAATCAGGGAGAGGTTGGAGATGTATATGCACCAGCAGCAATGCTCTGGGGGAAGGTGCTAAGGAGAAAATGAAGTTCTATTCATTATATAGTAGGGGTAGAAAGGAATAGGTTCTCCATCCATCAGTGAAGAAATCGAATGCTCATTTTCTGCTCTACATCCACTTTCTCCAAAACCTGCAACAGAATTCAGAAACAACTACTTAAGTTACTGTACATACTTCTCCTACAAGGTTTCTTACTCTAGTATAGAGGAAATGGGCAGGAACATGGGATGTCTTCAATTTGGCATGCCAGTCTTTCATCTAGAGACTGCTATTTTTCATTCCAGACTAAGGTCCTTCCAAGGAAAGAAACTTCAGCCATTAAAGCTGGAAGAAGGCGTCAACCAAAACGTTAACTAATGCAGTTTCAGTCTGCCAACAGCCCAGAAAGGCTTGGATTCCCAAAATTAGACTGTGTGGGAATGCACAGCCAGGAAACAGAAGGGAGAACGGAGTAGAGGAAGTGGCAGGAGCAGTCACTGAAGAGCTAAAAATCAAGACCCCAGCATCACTAACAAATAATTGTAAAACCGGGGTGGCAACTTCATTCACTGAACTACTATTAACACTGATGTATGAAGACATTAAGCTGCTCCAGCCTGTTGCAGGCAGTAGACTTTACTGTTCCAAGATTAGAATAATTCCTATTTGAAGAGTCCTCTGGAGGTCTTTTAGGCCAACTCACTCAACTCCTACAGGCTGCTCAGTGCCTTGTCTGGTTAAGTTTTAAACCCCTCCAAGGAAGGAGGTTCTACATCTTCAGCAGCTATGATCACCCTCTTAGTAAAAAGTTTTCCTTACAGCTAACCAGAATTTCCCATGTTTCAATTTGTTTCTGTTGCTTCTTGTCCTGTCATTGTTCACTCCAGGATAAGCCTGGTTTGTCTTGTCACTACCATCTCATTAGGTAGTTTAAAATTGTTCTACTATAGGACAACTTTCTACACTGACACTTACAGTTACCCATTTCTGACTAACAAAATATGTAGTTCAAAGGACTAGAGCTAGGAGCTTGAATACTGATATTACTTGTGTCACTAAGATAAAAATCTACAACTGAAAACTGATCAGTACAATGATAGCAAGCAAATTGCTGTGTTATAACTGTGCTAGTCAGGCTACTTGTGTAGCAAGTGGTTGCAAAGTAAAAAAAGTGAAAATTCTGCAGTATATTCAGTGCTGTAGCTTATGTAAGATTATGAAGAAAATATGGACTGATATTTGATAGTGATAATGAAGGGAAGAAAAAGAACTAGCAGGAGGCTAGCTTTGCCCAAAGGCAGGCACGACTATCTGAAAGACTTCCTCTCTGTTTCTATTTGCATTTAAGTCTGAATGACTTGTCCATTACTAGGCAGTTTCATTTAGTAAGTAAAAGTTTAGTTTACCAACCTTCACAAACTCTGCAAAGGAGATGGCACTATCTCCATCTTGATCAGCTTCCTGGATTGTCCTGTCAGCAATGCTGCCCAGCTGCTCATCTGAAATGTTGACACCAACCATCATCCGTAATACCTGTAACATACAAAAGTCCCTAGATTTATTTTTTTAAAAAAACAAAATAACCATTATTGACATAGGAACAGAAGTATTCTTAGTGCCTTTTTTCTCATGTATACTGTCAAAATAACATCATACAAGAACAACCCTGGAGGATTTCAATGGAAGTAATTTCTAGACAGACTCCTATCTGTCCTTTGTACATCAAGGCTTTCAGGAAAGACAGCTTCCGTCTGTAGCCACCTCTGACAAAGAATCTTGCTTTTTTACTAGGCAGCAGGAAGAGGCAGAAATATGAGAAAGCTTTTGGAACTAGGAATGAGTACCTTTTTTTCCAATGCTTTTGTCTATTTTTTCCCCCACAAAACATACCAAACATTTGATTGAGTATGTGCTGTTTGAGATACTTGCCTACAGGAATTTTCTAAGTGTATGGCCAAATTATAACTGCCATTACTCTCTACAGTTAGTGAAACATTTTCTATGCAGATACAAGAGGGCAGTTTCAGTCAAATGGAAACCCTTGTCCTACATCAGGAACCACAAATTGCCATGTCTACTTCCCAGGATTAGTAGTATGTAATTACTCCCAGCTCAAGCCTAGTTTCATATATATGCAGTGTTGATGAACTTTGATTACCTTTGTTGCAATTTCAAGAAGTTTTATTCTATCAAGAGGATGCGCAGAGGATCAGGCAAACAACCTAATCCACCTCAAGGACTGTCCCTGTGAAGTCCTGACAGAAGGACCTTTGAAAGTCATAGAAAGTACTTAAGGGGCTTAGTGTATTTGTTGGATATTTAGGTATTGTTTCCAACAGGATCTGCTTAGCCTAGCACTATGCCTTAAATTTGATTCTAGCACTCCCCATGTGATAGAACAGCCTGTGCTACCAAGTGAGATTAAAGTCTCATACCATATCTAAAGTTTTAAAACAGATATAAGCAATTAGCCACCAAATTCCTTCAGTTCTTTTGAGATGACTGTTGTTAACTTCCCTCTTCATTCTAGATGGGTGCAAGTCACAGAGAAAGTCATGATGGAGTCATTCAAAGAAGCCCTGTGCTACTTACCTGAAGAAGCTCATCCCTGGAAATCTTGTCATCTTTATCTAGATCATATAACCGAAAAGCAACTACAAGGAAGAAAAGAACGAACAGTTTGACTCAAGTGCCATTATTTTTCTTCATAACAATACATTTATTTAAAAAAAAAAAAGTATTAATTATTGTCGGAGAATTAGCTTAGAATTTTAATTCACCATTAAATTCATGTTACCACTAAAATACATTTAATCCTTTAACTTCAGAGCCAATAATTTTTACATTACCATTCAATCCCTTTGACTATATTCTGGATGAGATACAACAGAAATTTTAGGTGCTCTGAGGACTGCTGCCAACTTTAATTAGTGAGCAGGAGCATTCCACTCATATACTGTAGACAGACATCCAGATACTCAAGAAAACACTCAACTGAAGGTGAAGAAAAAGCACTATATTATATAGAAGACTGGAGAAAGAAGCAGAAAAGACCATTCACATGTGGGATGTTGCTTCTAAATCTGAAATAACTTCGGACGCAAACCATTTTGAAACCCTTCTGTTATGATACATTTGGAAAAGCAGCTACATTACTTGAGATTCAATCAATTCCACCAAATTCCAGTACAAGAATGGGTCAATTGTTGACATTCTGAACAGGTAAGCTCGTATGTTAATCAGGTGTTAGAGGATATCATCTACAGCGAATGACTGTACAGAAGATCCCAAGCCCCTTCACTCCCTTCCCAGAAAAAAAAAATAATTGCTTCTATAGGAAGGTTCACATTTCTTACAATGGAGCTTGTTACTTCTGCTGTTGAGTGGTTCTGGTCCATTCTGGTCTTTGCTCTTTTCATTATCTTCTATGGGTCGGAAGTGGGCTAGTGTCCTCATGAATCCACGGAAATTCACCTGGTCCTCTCTGCATAAGCATTTCAGCAGGTCAGTTTTAGCACAGTTTATACAAGTTCTTTATTTCACTAAAGAAGAGTATGAATGTAAAAAGCATTAACACCATGTAGACTCTTCCAGTCCCACCTCCCCAGGGTTTGGCTGCCTATGCTCAAACCCAGCTCCCATACAGTGCAGCTGCAACCTGGGATCATGCTATTGTGAAGCATGATGTGTAAAAAAGGAAGCCATGAGAAGTCTTGTGGAGGGCTCTCCTCCCCTTGCCTGCTAACTCTATTTATGCTGAAGTTCTCACCCTTGGCCCTTGCCTGAGCTATTCTGCAGCTATGCCAGAGTCTGGTAATGTATTTTGCTGATCTGGACCCTGATTCCCTAGACACGCCTAAGACTTGCTTCGCCACTGCTAACTTGTCTAGCAGCCACTGGACTGCTGGCTGATGTGACGTCACTGGACCTGCTCTACATTTCCTGTTCAGGTGCTGCGCCCTTTGTCAGCAAGTACATCACCCCTGCCAGCTTTGCTGTCACCTTTGCCTCCTGCTTGTGAGGCAGCCATTACCAACTGCTCTCTGACAAATAGCTCTCTTCTCTAGAGTTTGTGGGAACCAGCTACCTACTTAGGTAGCTTTCTAGGACTCCTGTTTTCTATTCAGGAAACCCTGCCTGATATTAGCTGGTATGACTTGATTAGACAATCCAGTCTTTGCCAATCAGTAATGACAAACATGCTCAAGAACAGCACCAGATTCTATAGAACAATCTAGAGACGTGAAACGAAGAGAGACAGTACTGAAAATTTGATCATCTCTTTGGATTTATGTTAGAAGTGCCATAAATTATATGCTAAATGTCATCAAGAACTAAACAGAAAAAGCTGATCTAATAACAAATATACACTTAGACACTAAAAGGTGAAAAACAAGACTGAATTACTTAGCATAAAATAGTATTACTACGAGTTTGCTCTAAGAACCAAAGTCCATACCTGCCCTTGACTTTCTTTAGAAGCATTCAGCAGCAGAGCAAAAAGAATGGAAAACTGTGACGTGACATGAAGTCTGAGTTTGTCAATGAATAAAGCACACAAAACTCTTGTAAGGTTGTGAAGTATTTCTCATTACAGAATGAAAACATGCTGAGGAAACAACGTACCCTCACACATTTCATAACAAGTTTGAGGTGTTCAGCTATTAGTAAATTCAAGTGCTGTGCTTTAATTATCAGCATTTCACTCCTATCAAAACTTCTAACTACAAATTTTGTGCCTGCTGAAAAATTCAGTCTGTTGGAACTCACCCCTCTGGAAAGAAGGCATTGATAATTCTGTCTCCCAGTGGATTGATGGCAAGCTCTGGAATCCGCTGGAAGTCTTCACGGCTAAATAAAGCAAGAACACCAGTCTGCATAAAGTTGAAGTCAGAGGAGAAAGAGTTGCTTAAAAAGAATTCACAGTAAAACATCCGCTGGGTTCTATTTCTGCTGCAAGACACTTGGTGGTTTTTAAAATGTAGCTCTTTAAATCATGTTTTCCCTATGACTAATGGCACAAAACAAAATAAAAGACAACGCCAAGCCTGTATTACATTACAGACTAGCAGTGTTCATTTATCATGTTAACTGCACTTCTCAGATGCTAACATTGTTTGTGCTAGAAACCTTCCTGTAATGATGCCAACTAGTTTGCAATTTAAGGAAAGGAAAGCTTCTGAAATGGCTTTGAGGGGAAATATGGCTTCCAAATTTTATTTTTTTTTTTTAAATAAACACATTTTAGATCAGTATGACATGAACATAGGGTTCTTTCTATTAGAGTTGAACTAATAGTTTTTTCTTTTAACCTATTACAATGTCACTAATGGGGAAGTGGGATAATCTTGGCCTGACCAAGGCAGACACGCCAAGTGTGTCTTAGTGAACACTTTGGTCAACAGGTTTGGCTTTGAGTTGGGTTTTTATTTCTTCCCCACTACAACAGAACACAGCAATTTATCAGTTAGTACAAGATGTACTCCATAATCATTCAGGTTTTAAATTGCAAAGATAACAGCAATGGCATAAGGCTGTAAAAAAACGAAAATCTATTCTGTCTGGATACGTAACTTGACATTTCTCACCCAATCTCCCAAAATACTGGCAATCTCCTTCAAGTCAAATATAGTCCTGCTGATTTTGAAATTTGGATCAAAATCTCAAACTTGGTTACTAAATATTTGCTACTTTTGAAACCTGTGCTCACTAAATGAATCAGCAACAATTCATGATGTCATTACACCAAAAAAACTAGCAGAGTAAAGGAAACACCAGTGGACTTTGAGATTATTTAAACCTTTTAAATAGATTTAAACTCCTACTGTGATCTTAAAGACATGGGAAAAAATGAAATAGCTAACCTTATTACTAGTCTAGCCTGGGAAAGGCACAGAAGCAAGACATTCTAGTTTAAAATGCATTCTAAAGCACTCCTTACACCCAGTTGCACCACAGCACCGTTAAAGAATCCCAATTATAAATACGTCTGTTACAGCACGGTTAAACTCTTTGACCTTCTAATAGAACAACCTGTCCATATTTTTAAGCTATCCCAGCAAACTTCTGCTGTGACCAGGTCTGAATTATTTTTAATAGGCAAAGTTAACATCTGTATAAAATCAGCTTGTCCCTTCAGGACTGCTGCACTTTAAGCTATAGCTGAAAGGCAAAGTATGCATTAGCAATTTACACAGGAGACGCAGTGATGTGAAAGCCTATGTCCTCATAACAAAATTTTAACAGGACTTCAGTGTCAATGCTACCATTTACAAGCTAAAAGCAGCAACTGCCCTCTCTTCCATTTAGAGAAAAATACTAATGTTTCAGACTTTTTTTACCTGCATATCATTTTTTCTTAGTATTAACTCTCAATTTACACTCAGCATTTCAGTCTCCAGTTGTTCTGCCTTCTAACAGGAGATTAACAATTAACCACAAATAACTCTCCAGGTTTCAAATCTATTTGTCCTGTCATTATCAGAATTGCAATAGACCATTTTTGCTTATTAAGAGCACATTACTGAGTGACTGTTATAATTGAAATAGCTGCAACAGCCATAAAAGTAAATGAATGCATGATGCAAGTTATTCTCCACTTTATAAACTAAGGCTTCCTGCAGTCATTAGGGACCAACTTCACCTGGTTGAGGCTGGCACTCACAGGAAATTTGATGCCATCTACTTCGTTCTACTGTGTTCATGTGCCGTAGCAACAAGGCTCTTTTAACATATCTTTCCAGGAACCTGGCTTCTGTTAAATCCTTGCTTAAACATAATGTGCAAAGCAACCTTTAACTGCATGTCACCATTATGCAGGCCAACCATTTAATATATATGCCAGTGCACGCACACTTAGACATACTTTGCAGTAAGGAATTTGTAGGTTCTAAGACAAGTATTTCTAAGCATGAGTACACCCTCCAAGGCACACAGCAGATCCCTACCATAAAGGTGGCTCTGCCTTACCCCAAAGGCTGCAAGAAACCTACTAGAGCTGGTTTTTCTTCCTTTATTTCTGGTTGTTCATCCTTCTTCTAGATAGTAGCAGAAAGTACTGTTCCCTCAACAGAGGTGAGGGGGCTAGGGATCGAGAGCTGAGAGAAGTAAAACAGAGAGAAAACAAACCATATGCAAAACAAAAGTGGTAGATGAAATCTATATCCTCTGGACATTTTTCATAACAAGAAATAACTTCAAAAGGAGAAATAATTAAAAGTAGTGAGGTGTATCATGCAAGATGGTCAAACAGATTTAACAGGTAACTGAAGAGGTTTCATTGCTCCCTTCCCTCGCTAACATCAGCTTTGTCATTCATCAAACCTTTTGGTGGTCTAAGTATCACATTAACCCCCAAAAAAGCTCCTCACCTTCCTCCTCTCCATCCTCCCAATTATATTTCTGTTAAATTAGCAACTCGAAGTGGTTGACACTTCAAGAATCTAACAGCACCATGTCTGACAAAAAGGTCCTGGGAGACTGGAGAAATAACAGGGGAAGAGGATGGATCTCCTCCTCTCACAGCTGTGTCAACCGCCTCATCTAACTTCATCTTTACACATGCTCTACACAAATTTTAAACATTGCTTAATTATCAGAGAAGTAACTGGCTTATAAACATTAGGCTAAGTAGTACGCTAAAAGTAAAGGAAGGTGATCAGATGAGCAAGAGGGGGGGAAGCAGTGTGAACAAAGCATAGTCAAAGATGGAAGTACAGACTATTGCAGCACCCTGTCATTCTCCAATCCAAACCCATATCCCACCTGTCTTGTCTGGTTTAGAGAAAGCTAAAAATCCTTTGCATTTTCTTAAGCAAACATAAAGGAGTCCACATTCAGGGAGCTATGTTTTATTTTGAAATCTTGCAGTATCAGTTTGAACTAGTAAGAACAAGCCTGACATCACTGAGATGATTCAATTCACTGGCAAAGACCAACAGATGGCCTGGCTAGCTTGTTACCCTTCTCTCAGGACCAGAGGCTTTCTGAAGGTCTCCAGGAGACACCATCTTGTGAACAGCTTTCATAAGCATGAGATACGCACAAACACCTCAGTGCATCTATTCTCCTCACTTATCAGTTTTCAGAATACTTCCTTCTTCCACACTCACCAGACCATACCAACTGCTGTACAGTAAAAAATACCTCTGAAATGTTTAACCTGTCATTTCACCAGTGCAGTACTGTAAGTGAGAGGCTCCATGCAAAAGTTACATACACAAGGAGCAGTTTAGACAAGTATCTCCTTTTTATAGCTCTATTATGTGTCTGTCTAGAGGTACTTATACTAGTAGATAAATTCTGGAGCAGATTTATTCTCGTGTGCTGTACGCTTCAGTACCAGCCCAACAAGGAGACTCACTGAAGCAAGCACATAGTTATCTTGGTCATATGCTTCAATTTCCTCATCTTGAAAGTCAGAATGTAAAGAAAACATACACACTGGCTTTCTCCTGACCTATAGTTAGGATGTAGGCAAAACAAACATGCTTCCAGATTTTACAATGTAGATGTGGCTACAGATGTCCAGGGTACCAACCTTTTTTTCTGGCAACTCAGCACATCACAATATTGAAATTAAAGGTGACAAAAGAATTTTCAAAGGAACAGTGTTGTCCTGGCTTTTACAACCGAGTTCCATTCAGATTGGGCAAGTCTGAGGGAGCTTAAACATTTTGTTTAGGAAAAGTGAAGCTAGGGAAAAATATAAATGCTTTAATAGCATAGAAAAATGTTGTAAGAGTTAATAAGTAATCATGGCTGTAGTCATTCAGAGGATAAGGGGAGAAAGGGGGAAGGCAAAACAAGGCACATTAAGTTCTGTCTCTAATACCCTTCTCTTACACCTCATTTATGTAACATTATAAAAACAAAGTAGCTTGAAACTGCACACTGGTACACTAGTATCCTTGTTTGGGCTGAGATAGAGAGAATTTCCTTCCTAGTAGTTGGTACAGTGCTGTGTTTTGGATTTAGTGTGATAATGATGTTAGCAACAACATCAGTGTGTTAACAAGTAGGGCTTATCCCAATTTAACAATTTCTCAGCTTCCCCTGCTCTGCCAACGAGCAGGCGCACAAGAAGCTGGGAAGGAACATTGCCAGGACAGCTAACACAAACTAGCCAAAAGGATATTCCATACCACAGAACATCATGCTCAGTGTACAAACTGGGGTGGGGTTGACCAGGAAGGGCAGATGGCTGCTTAGCACCTGCTGACTGATGCCCAAGCAACTGTGTTGTGCATCACTTGTCTTCTCTTGGGTTTTATTTCTTTCCACCTTTTTAACTATATACCTTCTCATTACTATCATTATATTTTAGTCATTAAACCATTTTTATCTCAAACTGAGTTTTACTTTTTTTTTTTTTTCCAATTCTCCTCCCCCTCCCACTAGCAGGTAAGAGGAGTGAGCAGCTTAGTGGTGCTTAGTTGCTAGCTGAGGTTAAACCATGACAACAGAATAGAAACATCTGGCTAGGAAAGATTTCAGCTTTGGATTACAGTTTCAGAATAAACTACCTGTCTTCTCTAACCACCAGGATTAGTCATCATCTCCCAGAACTTCTGTAGAAAATGCTCTTTACCTTGCCCATTTTTAATACATAAGGACAACACAGTTTTTCCCTTTCAGAAGGGTGATACACATTTAAAGATTTATTTCATGCCATAAAGAACTGCCTAACACCTCACCTGATCATAGTCACATGAGTGATTTCTGCCATGTCTGATTTGCAAGTCAAAGGTCTAAGTCATCCTTACAGAAACAATCATTCACAGGAAACAAACAGAAGACATGCCTTCTAAACTGCTTGGCAGCAGTAAGCAAGTGCTAACTTCATCTTGCTTGTCTCAAAGTAGCAAGTTATCTTTAACCAGTATTTCAGAAACCAACATTTATGACCTTTCGAGCTGTAGTTCTTACTCTCTCCTCATTGTTTTTTTTAGGAAGTAGTTTTCATTACTTAAACTTAATAGTTTCCACATATTGTGGGTGCCAGGACAGGTTTTAAATTTTGAACACCACTAAGTCTGCCACATTTGGGAGCAGGCTATGCTTAGAGGCCAAGACTGCAAGTTAATGGATCACAGCTTGCACAGTTGCTGGGATTTTCCAAATGAGCTTCACTTCCTTTCCCAAGTACCACATGATTATCAACAATGAAAGTCAAACTCCTCCTGGTACATAACACAATGAAACTAAGCATTGTGCAACAGACATTCACAGCATATTTAATTAATTATTCCTCTTACGTAAACTGAGTACAATCACTTTGAAGTTTATAAAAACTTTATGGACTCATTAGGTGAATTTAAAGTTGGAGGGAAGAGTTGAGGAAGAATGTGTGCTAGGTTCAAATTGTGCTAGACCGGCAGCCATCACCTGTATTCATCAGTGAAGACTAAATCCATGTGCAAAGTTTGAAAAGGCTATTAGTGCTGTTTTTCATGTAATATAATTTGGAGCCATAAGTATTATTAACCTTACCTACAATATCATCAGTTGATCTGTATGTCACAATTGCCAATACCACAATTTATATGATACATAGGCTTCAATGACAGAGCAGGCTTAAGAAGTTCCTGCCCATCCCATCCCAATTGTTTCCACACCCACAATCTGTTTTGTCATCCCTTCAGCTATGTAAGTCTGATATTTACAGTACAGTCACAGTCCAAATCACTGGAGTCAGTCAGCTTAAAAATATCTATACAAACCAAAAGGGGAGGGAGTGTATTTTTAACCAAAAACAATTACTCAGTAGTCCTGTTTACAGTACAACTCCACAACCAGTTACTTCAATGTTAACTGAGAAGTCGGCAATTTGTGGCACCAGAAGGAACTGCGTATTTCCTTCAGGAAAGGAAACGGCAGTAAGCCGGCAGTAAAGACAGTGTATCTTACAACTGGTCACCTTCATCTTCTAAGCAGTGATTCTGGCTTTACAGTTAGGTTGGTTTATAGGTAAGTCTAGCTTTTATAGCACCTCCTTAAAATCACATTTTGCAAGATCATATACAAAAACCTCAGATGATCACTGAATCCATATTTACTGGGTTTGACTGGGATGGAGTCACTATGAAAAAAATTAACTCCCTCCCAGCCAGGGCCCATATACTATGCTACAATGAGGTCCCTTTCCCCTTCCTACTCTCTCCTGCATTCTCCCCAGCTTCCCTGTGCACTGGTTCTGGCATATGTAGCTATACAGTGAATGGGAAAAAATCCACCCCAAAACTGATCTGATTCCTTTCTGTTGTTTTGCTTGGCAAGTTTTCAGAACTGCAGGTTAGTTTCCAAAGATGAGCCCTAAGTACCAGCATCAACACAGAAAAGCAACAGACCTTCGTTGGCAGTATGGTCTTAGGCCAACTATGCTGGTCACAAAAATTGCACCCCTAGTGCAATCATGGACAGCTGCTCTTTGTCATACACTTGCATAATATTAATGTAATCTGTAGGCAACATCAAGAGAGAATAATAAGAAATCTAACACAATCAGAATTCATAATTAGTTCAGCAAATAAAGAACAAACCAATACCAACACAATATAACCAGAATGGGGAAGGCTAAAGAAGAAAGCAGGCAGAAACATATTTTAACAGGCAATCATCCAACTAGAGTTTACCTTTCAGTTGAGAATATTCTTGCCAGCAGACTCAGTCCATTAAAGTGAAAAATGTTTTGCAGAAAGTTTAAACCTCATCTTTATTTCATCATAAGTTGAAAGAAACCAGTTCATGTCTGTAGTTTTCAAATTTAGACAGAAGACAAACGTTTAAAGGCCCTGGAATATCCTACCCTACTACTTTAAAAATTAAAATGTGCCTTTGTTTAGTCACAGTGACTCAGTTCCAGCTCTTTCTTTTTATTTCTGAGCATACTAATAGACATGGGTGTACAACAAGAGGTGAAGAGTTAAGTATAGTAAAGGGCTTGCAGATCAAAGTAGTGTTAGAAGACACTGGGTATCAAAAAACAGTGAAGAGCCCACACTCCCCCCAAAATAAATCATCTTTTTGTTATGAAAGCCAGGATGAAGACAACATACTGGAACCATACTTTAATAATTATTAGAAGCAACATAAAGAAAGGTAAGAAATAACAATCTAAAAAACATGGTTTCACATTTCTGAACATTTGTTGTAAGACCCTGAATACCAAACCTGACCTTCCTTTTACTAAATGCTACAGACCTTCAGTACTACAGTAAAGACAACTGGTATTTAGAGCACCTCAGTTAAACCACCAAACTTTTCCTGACCTTTCACAGAAGAGAACAAACTTGAATGTCCGTGTAGACAGTAGGTATGAAAGAACCTGGTATAACAGCCTCACTGATTCACCAACCGAGGAAAACATGCAGGCATCATGCAACAGCAAGCCACCATCACAGATATGCGTCAATGCAAGGACAACTGAACGAGTGGATACCCACCTAAGAGTGCCATTTTCTCCTTTGTCTAGGCTGGTGAAGCGACTGTACAAGCGGGTGATTTGACTGTGGGAGACTGAAGAGAAAAAAACAAAGAAACAAATTAGCACGTCAATGATTTCTCATAGGGACAGACCTCATTACACTTAACTACTCTGTTGTCAGAAACTGTTCAAAAAAGATTACACAAAACAAGTTAATTTGGAAGAACATAGCAATCAGCAGTTATGGGGCTTTGTGAGCTATAAGCTGCATCTTAATATTCAGAAATCCACAAATAAGCCCATTCTTCAAAAATGTGGCTGCCTTCTACACATTTATATTTTTGGTCTCTAATATTCTTTGGTCATCTGGTTCAGTGAATGGCAATTAAAAATAAAACAATAGTTGATTCACAGTTCCACTGTATTTCCCTTACAGTTATAAATGATCTGGACACAGCCAACTCCACTGATGACCTCTACATCATTCATGACACTGCAGACCTCTGCAGTAGTATCTTCCCCTCCCTTTTGCTCATCTCTACTCCTGTTGACTTTCCATCTAAAGATGGAAACTGTACTCAGTTTCTCTGCATATGGAAAGTAGTTAGAGAGACTTTACACCCGATCACTTTTCTTCCTTTACAGGACTGCTTGAATCTAAACAGTTTGTTCATTTTGGGGTTGGCTAAATTCCCAGGTTTCAAGGACACTGAGTTAAAAATCAAAAAGCTTATTTCTAAAGAAGTTCAGGAGGGAGTTGGGACACAAAGCAAACAGAAAGCTAATGCAGAATTTTTAAACCTGCAACTTGAAACAGAAATTCCAAAGCCAGTATTAAGCTTAGCATCATGCTGTTAACGTTACCAAGATATTAGACAACCCAAGACACCCTACATCTAGATCTTCAGAACAGTCCATAATGGGAGCGGACTAAACCTATCTAGAATAGCAACTCCTTTAACACTGAAAGAATGCCCTACAGAAGATCTTGGCTTTTCAGAGCCTCTTGAGATGAAGTTAATAAATACATGAAATAAGACTGAATTGAATTTTAACATTTACTCAGTAAAGGTGTCATTTTCTACACTGTTAAACTAGGACTTAGTGTCACTTTCAGATTCAGTTGTTTTAAAAGCCTTCACCAGGACATGTACAATGCTTTTGTTACTTGCTAAAACTTATTTGGGAACAGGTTGCACAGCAGTTAGCTGTTCTGTGACAACAGAGGCAGTATTTTTTTTTTCAGGTTTGTTCTTTGTCCATGCTATTTGTTTAGGTTAATTGTTCCCTCCTTTAGGATGACCTGCCAGCAACTGGCCTTTTTTTCTTTCTCTCCTTGGCAACTTTCATTCTTTGTATAGGGTTGGGCAATTTGCTCAGTTCCACCTAAGAAACTTCTTTACAGTAAGACTGGGCAGCTTGCTCAATTTCAAGTTAAGCAACAAACACAGAGAAAGCAGGCACCAGTGTTTTACAAACTTTGAATTTCTGCATGTCTGATTGTTTTAGATAATATAGGCAATAACAACAACCAATGGTGAAAAAAAAAATAGCCTGGAGTTACATATCCAATGAGAAGCCCTGTACTCCCACTCCTGCTTGGAAAGAAAGAAAGGTCATGAGAATTCTATTCAGTTACCATTTCCAAACCAGTATCAGCAACTCAATTTCTGAAACTCCTCCGTAACAGCTAGTATGTAGCCATTAACAGGAGAAGAGTGGTTTTGTTACCATCATACTAGACAAAAAGCCTATCCTAGCTATACAGGAAAGGAAGATGATTTGGGTCCACCACTTTTTTCTTTCATAATTTCCTTCTAGGCTCTCATCCCTCACAGAACCTGCATGACTAGATACTTTTCAGAGCCTTCTCATGCAAAATAAAGATTTTGATATTCCCTACTGACCATTCAAGAGAACCAGAAACAAGATCTTCAATTTATGACTGCTTCTTAATATCAAAGGTTAAGGCTGAAAACTAGATGAAATATGATTTTCTCTATGCTGCTGCCCACTAAGGTCCTTCTAAAAATTTAAGCCAAGATTTCTAGAATACAAACTGTAACCTCTATCTTACTTGTTATATTATTAGAAAGTTTTTTGCAATTAGACACTCAAAACTCTTGTCTAAAACATTAGTATAGGCTCATATACATTTATATACTTAGAAAATACATAAATATCCATCAGAAAATCCATCACCATTTACCACTAAAATATTTTTTCTCCTAAAATACAATATGAACATTAATTTACTATTAATCCTTAGGTAGACTGCTTCAAAGCATGGGAACAAAGGGTGTGACCCAAATAGTTTGAATACTGTTACATTCCAAAGGCTTTCCAAAAGCTTGCAACACAATGCAGAGAAGCAACAACCTGGACCTCTCATCTGTTTCTTGTAGCTGTTACTGAAATACAAAAGCAATTAGGACTACTTGAAGGTTTTCTCAAATTCAAATTTTAAAATGTCTACATGCAAACGATTTCCATACATTATATAAGATTTAGGACTGTCAACTTGAGGCTTAGCACCTGTTCCTGAGAACCTGATGGAGACTTTCTGTCATTAAGTAGAGGGTTTTTTTTAGCAGATTGGTTACTCCCCAGTTCTTGTAAATATTACATTTGCAGATGTTTCTGAACTTATTACAGTAAGAAGTGTTTTTTACCACAATATAAAAAATATAGAATTTAAATCCAAATTTAGATAATTCAAAATTAAATGTCATCGTATGGCTTTTGAAAGACTACGCTTCAAGTCCCCTAAAAGATATCTTTATCTCTTCAGAGAAAGAACATTAACATGTGATTCATCACTTCCATTAGTATCATCAGATATTCAGTTTTGTGCTATATAAAACTGAACAAGTTAAAAGTTGTATAATTCCATAGTTGCACTCAGCTGAATTGGTTAAATGTTCTGTTCTGTACTTCACACTTATCCCAGATGAGCTGAAGGAGTCATGTTTCACATTAAGGAGGCCAAGAAAAGAATCCTTAGGAGCACTTACCAGAACATCAGTTCAAGGTGGACATGCAGTACTGCCAAATTTTTCCACCTCAGCAAAGTCCCTTTCTCACACTCATCAGCATCAAGTTTCTAACAAACACTCTGTTCAGTAACACTAACTTCACATTCTGCCCATGAACTCTGTTTCAGATAAACTAGTGTCCTGGCTTTTTCTTCCCCACCTTGTACCTTATATAAATATTTGAACCTATATGAAGTGCTAAGAGCTTGGTGGAATTTTCCATCTACCTAGAGAAGTTTAAAGGCAGAGGAAAAATCACATTCCTAGACTGTGTTACAGGCTGAGGAGGAGTTTGATAAAGTCAAGGAGACATTCAAGCAAGCATGAGTCAGAAATTAGCAATGCTTAAGAGGCATAACTTATAAAATTGAGCAGCAAAAACACAAGGGAACTAAATTCTGGCCACAAAGCTTAAACCTACTGATGACAAGCTTAAGCTCCTGTAGTGCTAGGGCCTGAATAATAGGCCCTGAAACAAAGTTGACCTCTAGATGAACCTCACAATCAAACATTAGCCATTATTAATATCTGCTAATTAGCAAAATCTGCATTACCACTAGCATTTATTAATTAGTATCTGATCATTTACAAAATACGTATGCTCACTAGTGAAAGACGTAGCTTAGACAAAATGTAATTAGTAGTGAGGATGAAATGCTGTGAGAGCATATATCCAACTTCCCTTGTTCAAGGCTGAGAACCCAAGTGTTTGGTCTCATTAGAAACTCCCTTGGTTCTCCCTCCCTGAGCCCTGGCCATGTTTTGGGTGGAATCCAACAATAGGATGAGCAGAAACATCTGGTTTCAAAGAAAAGTGCAGGTCGTTCTGACTTGCTGATTTTTGATATGTAAGGCTGGACCCTCATGCCACGGCTTTGGAAACCTCACGTACGGGTGGATGCATCACGTCAGGCTTCCTACTTGCAGGGAAAGGCTCTCCAAATCCTCACTGCAAGGAGGGATCGGATCCCCAGCAACTGCAGACCGGGATGCTGGCAACATATGCAAGGGGTGATGCATCTTTCTTAATCACTATTCTCCCCTTCGTGTAGTAATGATTTGGTGCATTACCTTGCTTGTTCTTATTTTCTATAATTCACTGTATGTAGTAATAATTAAGTGGACTGTTCTGTCTTTGTCTTATTGCTTATTTTCTGTATTACTTGGTTATATCCTTTAATTTTTAACAGTAAAATAAGCCTACTCTTTTCACTCTGGTGTCTGAGTTTAATCAGCATCCTCGATCAGCAAAACAGCTCCCCACTTTGAAGACAGAAGAAAAGCTTTATTGCTTAGACTGCCTATATACTTAAATAAATACCATTAAGATGGCTATCACAGAAGTAAAGTTCTAAGAATAAGGCATCACTGACAATAAATATTGTCATGAGGAAAAAAAAGTAAAACCTTTTAGAATAACATTCCAGATACGCAGTTTGGTTTTTGAAGCATCTTTATAAATGAGGTGAGGCTACCATTATTCTATGATCTTTGTGAATAAAAGAAAAAAAATCAAAACACCAGTAAGTTCTTACTGGGTAAGTACACTTTGACATTTCTACTTGTTTATCATAGCCTTCCTGTAGGACGTTCTCTTGACAGATGGAAAAAGGATCATGGAAACTATGTTAACACACTCAGCTGTCCATCACTCCAGCCAGTACTGTCTTAATTTTCTTCCACTTCTTTCCTGTAGCCACTCATTTTCCTGACACAAATAAACTATCACCTAAAATTAACATATAACACCATTTATATTGGAAAGAAAACTGAGTAAAGTATTTGCATGTGGCAAGAAGAAATCAGCAAGCATAAGCAGGAAAAAAACATGATCTGGATAGACCTTGTCTACCTGAAGCTGGGGGTGACAGGGACAGCAGTGATACCTATCATATTATGACCTCCCCTCTCCAAGTAGTTGAGGACACCCTCCATTTACTATCATTGCTAGAATTCTGAGACAGGCAACCAACCATTCTATCAGCCAAATTAATGCTGTGATCTACCTGCTCTAAGGTATTTTATCTTTATGGAGAACAACTCGATCAAATACTATAAAGTAGATATATATTATGGTCCAGCTTGAATAATGCTCTTCCATTCTCTGGCTAGTACAGGAAATGCAACTTTAGTCAGATTACACAGCTTTTCACATTACCTCCTTCATGTTTTAAATGCCCCTCAGCATTCATTCTGAATACCCTTAAGGCAACTTTAGCGATACCCTATGAAACAACATTTAGAAAAAAATTACTGTACAAGGAGAGCTTTTTTGGGCTAAAAACAGCTGCTGGAGAGAAACACCAGCATCAGAAACTAGATAGACAACTCTTTGAAATCCAACTAGTTATCTCTGCGCGAATGCAATACTGCAGATACCAAAAGCACCGCTCCTCTCTCTTCCCACCCAGGGCAGGGAGCGGCTTTCACTAGATGCCGTTGTACAGACGATCTTTGCCTCCTTAACCCAGAGTAACGGCTCCCACGCGAGGTCTCTCCTGCAACCCTAGCGCGGCCAGGAGCCGAGGGCACTCGCAGATCCCGGCTCACCGGGTGACAGCTTTCGCTTTCTCCTGTGCCAAGCAAGCAGCAGCCCCCGCAGCTGCCCCTGTCGCGTCCCGGCCACCCCAAAGCACAGCTCAGCTCCCAGCAGCTGTATGCACCGCCGGCGGCTGCTGCCAGCCCCGAGCGAGCGGGAGAACGGCAGAGCCCCGGGCCCCATCATCCCGGGGCCGCTCCTGCGCGGCAACCAGCGACGGGGCGGGGAGAGACACTCAGACACGGCGACGACGGCAACACGAAGGAAGCGGCATTTCCCAGGTTTCCGCAGGCTTCCACGGCATGTCCGCCCCCGGCAGCTGGGGCAACAGGGTCCCAGCCCAGGGCCGGCTGGGACCAGGCACTGCCCAGGCGGGAAGGCAGCGGCCGCCCTCACCCCCCGCCGCCGGAGCGCGG